GAAAATTTAGGAGGAAAATTTGTTTTAGTGACAAAAAGGTAAGAAAAACGAAAAAGAACTTTAAATTGCGTTTGGAAATGATGCAAATGGAGTGTAAATCCCAGTTCAGGGTAAATTTGCACTCTGATTCACTTTTGCTTGTGTTTGGCAACCTTACATTTATGCATTGACAAATGACAAACCAATGCATATTTACATTGATAATAAGATGTAAAAGTACATTAATAAAAAAGAAGTAAATTTGCATTCACGTGGGCTTTTAATAAAAAAAGCATATGCTTTATTAGAATTCGTGTTTGTATCCATTACAACTAAAAGTCTACTTGGTAAGAAGGTAAATTTGTCAGTGTAAAATAACACAACTTTGCAATTTATATGGGCCGTTTTACACTCTACATATTTGCATCGTTTCCAAGTGCAACCTTAGGCATAATTTGGAAAGAATACAAATACAAATATGTATAGTGCATATACATACAAAATTCAAGGTTTTGCAACATATTTGTATTTGTACTCCTTCCAAAGTGAGCCTTAGGTCTAGTTTATATGTGTTTGTATTGTACATATTTGTATTTATACTCTTTCTAAATTGAACCTTAACGAAAAAAACTAAGGCTCAGTTTGGATGGAGTACAAATGCAAATATGTACAATGCAAATACATACAAAATAATAAAAAATATAAGGTTTTGCACTCTACATATTTGCATTTGTACTCCTTCCAAAGTGGGCCTAAATGAATTAGAAAGAGAAAGTATGAATGTAAGGAAAATATAAAAATAAAATAATACAAAAAAGTGGGAAATGCATGCTTTATCTTAAATGTGAATCTAATTCTATAATTTTTTGAAAAAAAAATATGTAAATTATAAAGAAAGCTATACCACCTTTTTCCCATTTGGTTTGGACTGGTTGCTAATGAATTATCTTTGGTACAGGTTAGGATAGACTCGACCCGACCTTACAAGTATGCAAAGTTCCATACCGAGCATGGTTTACAATTTGGGACTATTGGGTCTAAGACTTGATTATAATTGGCAGCTATGTTTTTAGCATGTGACTTGTGAATAATTCTATTTATCTAATTTTTCTTTTGTAGGCAAAACCTACTTATTTGTGAAAGTGACACATTTGGATATCATAATATGATAATATTGCAAGTATATCATGAAAAGATAGGTATTTTTTATGAAAAAATAAAAATAAATATTAGATACACATCTTTGTAATATGCTAATATGCATAATTGGTTTTAAATATATATGCAATTACATGTGTAATTGGTTTTGGATACCTAGACTATATATATATATATATATATTTTTTTTTTGCTCCAACCAATCTAATTATAATTGAGATACATAATGCAAACCCAAATCCTATATAATTGGGTTGATTTGGTTTGGACGTGGCCCACCCATTGACAAGCAAAAGAAAGGAAGGGTATTTTTCATCCATGTTGATATTGTGCAATACTTGGCTCTTACCATGATGGAGGACATACGACCTACCATCTCCTAATTTTTTAAATTTAAACCCTAAATTCCTAAATCTAAACTCTAAATCCTTAAACCTAAGCATATTAAATCCCAAATTTTAAATTCTAAACCCTAGAACCCTAAACCCTTAAATCCTAACATTTGTGTAAATGACTATAATAGGAGGTATATCTTTCAACATGGTAAGAGCAAGTATTTTTTTGGTGATATTCTCTTTCCTTAGGTTGTTGGATATGGTGAGAACCCTGATGATGGTGTGCGATCTAGAAGCTCCTAGCTGGGGAACTATCATGATGTATTTGCATGGTGAGTTGGATCAATCTGCAAAACAATGCTCAGAGAGACCGGGGCGGCGAACCCGGTGAGGTTGCTCCGATGCTTAAGTCAGTATGCTATGTCTTTGCGAGCTAAGTATGAATGCTAGAGAGCTTGGATGTGAGTAATTGCACGTACCTTCGCCTTGAGGATTGATGCCCTTATAGAGTTGAGTAGTTGTGAATCTTACGAAAAAGCTCTGGGATCTTCGGGCTGCATAGATAAGATCTGTTCCATTTCCAAAGGAGAGCAATGCGCCAGTTGATAAGGTCTATCACTTTCCTCCGATTCGGGCGGAGTGAGGATGAGCCCTGTTATTAGATGTCGTGATCCCAGGAAATCCGGAGTCCGTTGGGGAACCTTCTGGAGTCAATTATGTGGCACTTTGGTTCTTTGGCCCCGAACTGGCACTTTGGTTCTTTGGCTCTGAACTAAATTGGGTGCTGAGATGATTCTATGCCGAGGTGACCGAATACCCGAGCTCTAACTTGTGCTGACTGGGCTCTTTTCGCTAAGTTGTCATCCTTCGAGCAGATCGCGTCCACGTGACCTCTACTTACTAGGTTGTGCCAAATCACCCTTCATCAATTGCCCCCCACTCCTCGTGCTAGGGGTCCTGACCCAGCGCGGGGAGTTCATGACGAGCCCAGGTGGATTTGGCACGAAGCCTAGGTGACATGGAGGGCGGACCGTTGGTCGGACCTATTCAACCATTCGACTCAACCAGGAAGTGACCCAAATCGTGTCTCGGCTACGCGCAGACGTCACACCGTTTATAAATTCCGCGTACGTCAAAGGGCGCGCTCAACCGAATTTGTCCTCGGGTAGCGTGTAGCCGGTTTTCATGGGAGCTGTCGGATCACACATATCATAACCGTCTATTGCCGGATGTGGTGGATTATAAATAGGGGTCGAAGGGCCCATTATCCTCACCATAAATCGTGTAACTGAACTTTCTTGAGATCGCGTCAAAGTCCTTCAGCTCGCCATTCTCTCCCCTTGTGTCCAAGGTTGTTACCACCTTCTTTGGTGAGTTTGTCTTCTTGCACTGGTTGTCCCCTTTTCTTTTTTCTTTTCCTTTTTTTTTGTCCAATATGTCTAGCGTTAGCATAAATAGGCTACTTAGTGATTCTAGTGAGCTTAGGGGTGCCGAGATGCGGTCCTCAGCTCCCGCTGGTGAGGCTAGCTCTTCGCTAGAGAGCTCATCTTTGAACATTTCAGGAGTAGTGCTTTTACCTGACGTTGGGCCAGCTCGATTTGAGGAACCCGAACCTTAGGCAGAGCGGTTGACCTCCGAAGAGGGGGTCTCGTCTTCTACTCGAGGTCAGGATCCAGACAGCTTCGGTCCTTCCATGATGACATCGGTCAGATTGTTGTCCTTAATAACTCGTTACCGTCTCCCCGATACTCTCATCTTCAGCATTCCTTTGGGTCAGTACCCTTGGGTTCATGACCATTATGAGCTCGCGGTCTTTGAGGAGCAACTCGTAGCTGGGCTGCGCTTCCTGCTCCACCCCTTCAATTTTACCCTGAACCAGGATTTACACTCCATTTGTATCATTTCCAAACGCAACCTAAGTTAATATGGGCCTCAATGGGCTCTCATTTACATGGGATTGATTAGCAAAGTGGGTTGAGGTGGCATCCCTAATCCTAGGCTATAAATAGCCTTGCTTAGGATGAAAGAGTTCCCTTATTCACAATCACATTGCAAGAAACTCTCACACATCAACACTTGAGAATTGCAAGCAACCACAAGCCCTTGCAAATTCCAACTACTTCAAGATCAAGAGAGAAGAAAATAAGGGAACAAGTTTCATAGTTCTCTACAACACACTTGGATTCAAGCATTCTCAAAAAGATCAAGCCACTACAAAAATGTCATTCTTTAGAGAAGCATCATTCACAACCAATTAAGTGTGAAGTCCGGAGTGAAAAAATCTACATAAGCTCTTTATAAGCACCAAAATCAAGACAATCTACATCGGCACTTCAAGAAGTACGAGAAACCCGCCAACGACCCTCATCTTCACCGAATTTGACATTAATCAGAGGTTGCTCACATCATCAAGCAAGAAATCAAAAAAGAGTTTAAATCCCTTGTGTTTTCCTTTATTATAAATTTATTTTGTAATTTGTCTCCATATTTTGTATTAATCAAATACATGAAACTTGTGTCGACCAACTAAAATTATAAAATTAATTTATTTTATTTATCTTAAATGATTTATATATTTTATTTTGCATATAATTTATATGTTAAAAATGAAAACATACTTATTATTTGAAAAGATAGAGTTATTATTTATATAAAAATACTAAATAAATAAAATTTTCACAAAAAAGTTTAATAAAAGTTGTAAATTATAATTATAAAAATTGAACTAAATAATTTAAGAGTTAATTTCCTCAAAATTTCAATAAAACTGAAAATTATAAAAATAATTTATTTTATCTACCTTAAATGATTTATATATTTTATTTTAAAATTATATGTAAAATAAACAATTGTATGTTACAAATAAAAATAGATTTATTATTTTTTATAAAATAGAGATTATTTATATAAAAATGTAAAATGAAAAAATTTCCCAAAAAATTAATAAAGATCTAAAATTACAATTATAAGAAGTGAAATAAATTGATAATTATTATATGATATATACATCTTCTAGAGTGTCGGTATTGTTGATTGTAATGTTTATCCTCATATAACCTATCCACACACTTGCAATGGGAATAAAACGTAGTTAACGTGATTTTATGAGTTTATTTCCACTGCAGACGTGTCCGAAACTCATTGGTTACTGATAAGGATGCAGCAAATTTGCATTGATAGAAGTAAAGCCTTTTCACACTTTAGCACTTCGGATGATCCCCTCCTCACAAACTTTCCCCACTTCCCTACCTACAATACAATACTGCCGTGTATCAGGAATATCTCCTCACAAACTTCACCAATGCACGCTTATAGTGTCAAGCGGGTAGAAATGTTGAGACCTTACACATTAGTGAGTCGAGTCGAGACAAAGGAATAACTGTCACACCATCCATCCCATCATCGCCGCTGGATTTTTTCATATGGCTTAGATACGCGACACGTGTCCAAGGAGGGTATTTTGGTCGTAAAAAAATAACCATCGCAGAAAAGAATCAAGAACCTTCCCTCCATTGCTTCCCTCGCAGTTGCAACCATGATCATGTTATTTTTGCCGTAGCAAGGCAAACTCGCATCATTTGCGGTCCGAGTACGGCACCATAAAAGACGAGCTATAGTTTCTAGGGTTTTAACTTTTAAGAGTTGCAGAGGTCCTTTTAATGCTCGTTTTTGAAAGTGCTTTGACTGTTTATTGAACCAATCTGATGTTAGCTCAGTATAAGTTTACCTGAGTTGTTGCATGAGCTGAAATTATATTAGAAGTTGGCCATTGTGTTTGCTGTTTAATCTTCGCATTTGGTCCGTTTATTGAACCAATCTGATGTTAGCTCAGTATAAGTTTATCTGAGTTGTTGCATGAGCTGAAATTATATTAGAAGTTGGCCATGGTGTTTCCTGTTTAATCTTCGCATTTGGTCCGTTCAAATGATTCCTTATTCCTTATCGAGTTCTCGTTTCTTTTCTGCTTTTGAACTGTACATTTCTGTTGGTGGAGGCTCCCTTTCTTGTGGAGTTGTTATCTAGTCTTTGAATGTGTGCTTATTTGCTTGTTTTGTAGGGTTCTAATGGTGGTTGATCTAAATGTAACGCATGCTTTGCTATAACCTTTTTTTTTTTCTTTAATCTCGCTTGCATTTTGTGGTACAATTTTTGTGTATTTACGTGTTGTGTGGTTTCTCTCAACCTACATGATTCTTATTTTTAGGGTTTAGCATCTTTTGCTTCAGTGAAGCTGTTGTGAGTTCTTTACATATGTAAGTCGCTATCTCTCGTGTCCATTGAAAGCAATAATGAGCAAGAAGTTTGCATCCACCGAGAAAATTAAGACCTCACATTATAGTTAGGTTAGGCTATAGTTCAATCGGCTTTTTTGTATTTATAGAAGTTTTCTTGTTTATTGGGGTAAGTAAAAGTGACACTGGTATTTACAGAAAAGCTAAAAAGAAATATATGTACTTGCACTTGCCATTAACAAGGATACAAAAGACAATCTAGAGCAACAAGGGGGAAGGTGAGCATAGAATCCTAGGTTCTATTTGCTTGTTACTTACTTTCATGCAATGTTTTAAAAACTGACCCGGAGGCCGAACCATTTTTGCCTCCAGGTCATGGGTCACCGGTTCGACCATTCGGGTGGAACGGGTCATACCGTCCTACATGTATTTAAGGTATATATACGTGTGTATGTATAAAAATATATTTTATCAATTTGAGGCCAAAAAGGTTTTTTTTTTTCCGCAAAAGTAACAGGGCAAGGTGCCTATGGGATGCATAGATCTCAAAAAATTACCCAAAATAAAAAAAAGATCACCCCAATTAGACATCGGAGTGCGAAGCTATGGCCTTTGAAAGTTTGCATGCATTGAGTGTGCAACCCGTGACCCGGTTGAATGGGTCAATGGTTGAACCAGTTGGGTCAAATGGTTCTTGACCAAGTCAATGGTTTTTGACTGCCTGACGGGTTTTGACTGAATCGGACCTGGAATCCTGGCCGGGTGACGGTTCGAACGGTTCAACCGGCCGATCAACGGCAGGTTGAAAAAACACTGCTTTCATGTATGTTGAATATCCCAAAGCTTCCCTGCTGTCCAACATGATGTCATCTTGCTGAGCCAAATTCTACTACTCTATGTCAGCCTCTATGGCTATTCAACCTTCAATTTTACAATTACTACCCATTACTTTCTGCAAGGACCATCCCCTTGACCCAGAACTCAACCATATATGAGGGCAGATCTTTCATTATTGTCTCAAAAAAGAAAGTGATGGAGTAAGAGAGAAAGGAGAAAGGGCTCGAGTGCTTCAAAAATGGTTCAGTGGCTCACCAGATAGAAACAATACAGACAGCTATGTCATAAGGGATGCTCATCTTTTGCACCACCAAGAACAGATAACTATGTCATCAGGGAAACTAAAATTAGGGATGTCAATGGGTTGGGTAGACCTGACAGACCCAAACTGAACTCAGTCATATATGAGAGCAATTCAGTTATTCTTGTCTCAAGAAAGAAAGAAAGTAATATACTGAGAGAGAAGAGAAAGGGCTCTAATGCTTTAAAATGGTTCAGTACACTGTCAATACAGATAGCTATGTCGTCAGGGAAGCTCATCTTATGGACCACCAAGAACAGTGCCAACATGCTTAACTATTCTATTACTAGGAGGAATTCCATATTTAAAACCTGCTGTTTGCCGAATATAAGCGGATACTGAACCATGCTATAGTGGGGTACTGTCTGGAGGATTTTAAATGAGAGGGTCATCCGAGCCTTCTTGGTAGAACAACAGAAAAGATTGTAACAAAGATGTTGAAAATCCATGAGGCAAATAAAACATAAAAGAGCTAAAATGAAAAACATCTTCAAGTTTGGGTAATACTTAGCAAAAAAGGCTATTATTGTGATTAGTTTTGGAGTTAGGATGACTGGTTACTAGTACTACTTTTGCAAAACTTTGTTTTTGTTATTAAAGTTTTCATCATTTTTTGTCATTAACAGTGCTGATGTTTATCTGAAATACTCTAAAGTATTTTACCCAAAAAGACAAAAAGAATAAGGGATCAGTTCACTACTTTTTTCTAATCAACCATGAGAAGCAAATAATTTGCTTTGACATTTTGTTTTTCCTTGGGGTATTTAAGTTTCTTCATTATTAGAGTCTAGTTTTTTTACTAGACAGCTAAAATGGTGCTTATATGTTTTCTTTCTTTCTTTTTGTTCATTTTTTCATTTTTCCCTGAACAGTTTTGAGGAATTCCAGAAAGGGGAGTTCAGGACTTAAGGGATGGTGGGTTCACTTTTATTTATTTATTTTTTCACTTGTTTGTCAACCAAGAAAAAAAGATCCAGAACCTGTGAAATTCCGTTGTTTGGTTCTATTTCCAACATTTATATCTTTTTGTTGTATTTCAATTTACGTAGGATGGTAGCAGTGACAGTGAATGGAGCAATAACTCTGAATGGGAGATTGAAGATGAATTGGAAATTCAGAATTTTCCATCTTTTCCAACTTTGACAGTTCCTGCTCAAGTTCTTGCAGTCTGTGGGAAGGTAAACCTATTCCTCATATGAGAGTGAGCAGTTCCTTTATTGCAGCACTGAAGCAATTGAAACACATACTGTCATTTTGACTGAATTAACTGCAAATCCATATTGTTATAATTTCTTCTTGTTGCCTTTTCTGTTGTAAAGATTCTGTTAACTACATAAAGGAATGATGAATAGAACCAAGGGGATGTCATGTCTACAGTGCCATCTGATGATGAGTTCTTTAATCTTTCACTTTGTAGTTGTCAAACTGGCCATTTCTTACATTGAAATATAGAATTGTCTATAAATGTTTAGTATGCATGTGGAATATAGAGTACTGTTGTATTTGCTGTAGATAAACAAGGTATAACAACAAGATATCCTAAAAAGGAGTTTTGAACAAGGATTAAAATTTTGTCACATATTGCGGCGTTCACTCCTATCGGTTACCCTCTGATATGCCCCTATGCTAAGTGTTTTGGGGTCTGACCTGTTTCAAGGGGTAGACAGGCCTTAAACTGACCCCCCCCCTGAACTGGTTTGAAAAGAAGCCCTAAAAAGAAAATGGCTAAAGATACAAACCGACCGATACGCCCCATCCAGTGTATCGGCCTGTATCAATATTTTGAACCTTGGTTTTGGAAAGAAAAAACAGATATTACAAAGAAAAAGAGAGGTATTTTTGTTAAAGAAAAAAGAGAACAATGATTGAACAAAGAGAACGTACAATACTGGGTTAGGAAAGTAAAACTGCACTACAATATAGTGGTCACTGAAGAGAAGTAAAACAAAGTAAGAATGGCTTCTAACCAGAAACTTTAATTTAGGAAACAAAATAACCATAGAATCAACAGAATTGGCAGGTCAATAAAAATGATGCAGTGGAATATTTCTGTTACAGAACTGCAGACACTTCAATTAACAAGCAATGTCAACTGAATTTCTAAGATTAACTTTTCCTTTGATGGGTAAGGTGCATCATATCAATACAAAATGGGGAATGGAAGTCCATATTCAGTAATTCCATAAGCTGTTCCCTGTTGTTCTATGAACAACCTTACAAAAATGCTAAATCAACATAGAGGGTCTAAAATAAAGCTGTCCTAGGAGTCTGACCGATGCAGGGCATCAAGAATGTCTTTGTTTTATGTGGTTTATGTGCCACATGAGTGCAGGATCTATTCTTAGCAAGATCTTGGTATATAGATCTGAACATCATTGTTTCAATTAGCATCACTCATTGATGTGGACGCGTATTGGGAGCAGCAGCAGCAATGATCCGGTGTTCTCATCCTATCCAATTCGGCAGCAACAATCTTATCCATTCAGCAGATTAGATTAGACTATCTTGTTATTCTTATCTTATTAAGTTAGTAGATTAGATTATCTTATCTTATTA